AAGTAGTCCCTGGGGGCTCCATGCCTGTCATCTTCCGCTACATTTTTGTACTAGACTGTTTGTTAGTGAGCCAGTAATGTGGAGGACAGAGAAAGAAGGAAGCCCAATCCGAGCTCTGGCTTTGTTCAGGGACTGTATCTGTGGAGTAGCCAATCTGTCAGCAGCCCTGTGGTCAGATTCCAGACTCTGCCACTGTAGTTTAATTCCTCCCTGGGCATCGATCCTTTCAAAGGCAAAATGGTGTCATAGAAAAAGTGGTCTTAAAATCAGACAGATATAGGCTCAAATCCCTGCTTCCCAACTTACTGCTCAATTCTGAGTACATTACTGTTTCCTATTGGTCCACTCAGGCAGCTATAACCAAATACCACAGATCAAGTAATTTATAAACAATAGAAATGTATTGTTCACAATTCTGAAGGCTGGGAAGCCCCACACGCAGGTACTAGAAAATGCAGTGCCTGGTCAGGAATCTCTGCTGTCACCGAGGATGTGCCTTTTTTAATTGTGCCTTCACATGACAGCAGGCCCAAACAAGATCCCTCAGGCCTCATTTCTATGGGCACTAATCCCAGTCTTGAGATTAGGCTCAGCCTTCACGATCTGTTCACCTCCTAAGGGCTCCACCTGTTAATACTGTCTACGATTGAAATTAGTAAGTGTGTTTGTGGGGGGTGGGTGTAGCATGCACCTGAGTTCCCCCATTAGCTAGAGGGGGTATTAATACCTGTTCTGCAGAAAGTCATATTGATTAGCAGGTAGAATGGAACTTGACTAAGAGATAGGCAAATGCCCTTCCAAATAGCATTCCAAAAGGAAGAGCTGTGGGTCTCTGGGGCTTCTCTGGTTTGCCTTTCTCTGGTGCTTCTAGAGCTGAGAGCAGGAAGCTACTGGCATTGTCTTTCTGGCTGAGGGCTTGCGTGTAACGCATTCTTATTCGAGAAATGTTAATAAGGTAATGATCCATCTACACCACATGCTCTCAACGTCCTGCAAAGCACTGTATCATGCCTGCTGATTGCCCTTTTGCCTGCCATGGGGATTTTAGTTACTCTGTGTTCTCTGAGGAATGCCTGGTTCCCCTAGAACAGCCCTTAGCAGCCCCGTGTGAATGATATCACAGCAGGCTGGCTGGTATTCCACAGAGCAGGGGAGGACAGATTAATGCTCTGGTGGCCTCTGGACCTGCTTTCCTTTCCCCTCACTTCCTTTCCACCTCAGCCTCTGCTCTGCCTCAAAAAGCGCCAACCTTCATCAAGACCAGGGTGTCCTACGGAGTTCTCACAGTACCCCAAGGCCTGGATGGAAGTGCTCTCAGAAACTGGCCTGGCAGTCAGTGTAGAGAAAGTGAGGCTGTTCTCCTGAGCTGAGCTGCTACACCTCCAACCCTGAGCTCCATCCTAGAGTTCCCATCAAAAGCTTAAGTATCCCCTGACATTCTCATGCCTATAATGCCCTGAACGTCTTGTTTACTTAGAAAAAAAAGGAGAACTATCACTTTGAAACTAAACAGAAACCAACTGACTTCTTTGGATCCTAAATATGATCTACGCTGAATTAATAAGTAATCAATAATTCTATGCTTGCAGAACAAGATCAATTTCAATTTTAAAACTCACAGTACAGCAGAGGATGCAAAAGATAACGTATGGAGCTCTTTGTACCAGCCATCATCCTAAGCACTCATCAGGCACTGTGTTCTGCAGTGTGGAGCCCGAGACATCACACTGCCTCGGCTTAATTTAAGCATCAGCAGAGTAGCATGTCACACAGTGTCACCCAATTTCTCTAGGCTCTTGCCTGGGTGGCTCTGTCTTACCCTCTAGATTTTAGTTTAAATCATACCTCTTCAGGGCGTTATTCTCTTGGTCATCCTGTCGAAAGCAACACCGCACCCCCAGAACGCACATGCCGTTGTTTTCCATCTTGTTACCTGTTCCATTCCTTCAGTGCAGTCTTCATTCATTACAAATGTCTGTTGAGAGTCCTCTGTGGACCACGCTTGCTATCTAGCTGCAGGAGAAACAGCCCAGAATAAGAGCTATTCTATGGAATTTGCATTCTAATGGGAGAGACAGACAAGTAGGCGACCAACAATAAAACAGTGATATTGTAGTGTTCTAAAGCCCTGGTTTATCATCTATCCCTTAATAGTGCTGTGAGTGCCTTATGGACAAGTTCTGGTCTGTCTTGATTTCTGCTAAATTCTTAGTGCCTAGCATGGTGTTTAGCACATCATATATTTAAAAAATGAGGATTAAAAAAAGATAGGATTTGTGAATAGATGACAGTGAATCATAGTAGTGATAAAGTAGATAATCCATACCAAAGCTCTTAGTGCAGTACCTGAAACTCAATAAACTCTTAATGTAAGAGCTGAGTGTTTTCCAATTAGATATAAAGCTGTTCTTAATTACTTTGCTACCCTGTGTCTATAATAATGATAATTATAATAATAGATGATTATTATTATAGAATTATGTATAACAATGTACAATTACTAACTTCTACTGCATGTCATGAGCTGTCTGGGCATATCAAAATAATCTTATTTAATTATAGCACCATAATAATCCTAAAAGTTAGACACTCTAAGCACCAAATTCCTATCATAAAGACCAGACTGTAGTTAGCATCAAAGATAGGTACAAAGTGCTATGAAACCAGGAAAAGGAGGAGCTGGTATGGGAGGGCGGCTGGAAAGTGTTTAATGGGGGGGGTGCTTCTGGGAGAAACTTGGAAGGGGCGAGATCCCAGAGGGCAAAGGGGGTAGGCAGAGGGGAAGCCTAAGAAAGGGCACAGAAGAGTGCTGCACTTGGTGTGCCACTCACTTCTGGCTGAGCCCACAAAGGGAGTGATGGGATAGGGCTGGAAGTAGAGGCAAGGTAGCCCTCCAGTGCCAGTGAAGGGATTTAAGATTCATTTCACAGATAAAGGGGAACACTTAACATATCAAAGCTGAGGAATAAACGAACCAGAATTGGGAAGGTCAGGCAGTTTAACTAGGTCATAAGATAGATAAATAGGAGGTACGACTGGAAGCAGCTGACAAGCCTAGTGCAGTAAGTATTGAGTTGGTAGTTTCTCAGAAGGTGATGATGAGAACAGAGTGCAGGGTGCACAGACTGTAAGCAGAACTCCCTGGAGGCTGCAGGGAAGCAGCAAAGGACATGTTACACCTGGCCAGAAGGGTCTCAGCTTCTGCAGTTGGTGCTTTCTGATACCCCTGGCCCAATGTTACGTTCAGACAAAGGGAGCTTGATAGTTCTTTAACTCAGATAAGCTTTTAACTAAAGACAGTTCTGCCTCTTGCTTTGGAATTCCATGTGTACTCAGGAGCCAGGAGACCAAGTGGTTACAGGTAGGTTGGCTTGGCTACTGTCTCAGCTGTAAACTCACCTGGTGTAGGTACCACAAGGATCTCGGTGTCCAGTATGTCTGAAACTCATGAGAATAAGTTCTCTAGTCATTTACCTTCCCTAGAAAAGCATGGCTGGCTGGTGTACACTAAATTTGTCAGGTATAGGGGATTGATATGGGTTTAAATGCAGGTTTTACATGAATTCAGTTGTGAGTGTATGAGTACAGGGTGGGGCTTCCGGTTGGCATCTAAGCAGTGGCAGGCATCCTACAGAGCAATTGGACCTGAGGGAAGACTTGCCGTGGTAGACACAAAATAAATGATTCTTGGAAACGTAGCATTTGGGATCAAAGTCCAAAACAGCAGAAGATCCTAAGCACAGTTGTAGGTCTGCACTCACAATTCTTCTCACAATGGCAACTCTGCCGTAGCACGCTTTGAGGCAAATTGTGACGACAATTTGTTGTTTGGATTTGTTAATTATCTCAGTGCTTAATAATTCTCCCAGAGATAAAAGTTTCAGGGAATTCAGAGAAATTCATATTTTCTCTTCTGGTAATATTCCAAAAACTAGAAGCAGTACCTGCGTATTCCTTTAACAGCATTGCCATAAGCTAGCTGATGCGCTAGTTTGAAACTTTCTTCTCTGCGTTGGATGTCTTGTGTTTGTCCAGCCAGGCACCTATCCACCCTTCTGCCTACCCTTTCCCTGCCCCATGGGGTTAACCAAATGGACCATGGGCACAAAGCCCTTCCTTGTGGGTTTAGGTGAGTTTGACTTGTGGGGAAGCAGCAGACTGGATAAAAGAGGTTGAAGTTCCCTGGCTCCTGCCCTGTGTGATCCTATCAGGACGGTTTTCTCTGTCACTCCTCCACACAGGCTTCTCTGACTCTGATCCCAGAAATAGCACCTTCTCCAACAACTGGAGCAACCCACAGCACCAGGGTGCACATGATGCCTATGGTTACCCCATACCCTGCCAACAGCTTTGCAAATAGCTTCATTATGAAATGACCCCTTTGAATGACCCTAATTTGGATGGGGGTTTTACTGTGATCTACTTTGTTTTTCCCAGTTGCCACATAGTCATTTTCCCTGTAGGATCTCGTGCTTGGGTGAAGATGACACTGATTTTTTCTCCCCCCATATCCCTTACTGACTCCCCACTTCAAAATCCAGTGCAGAATTCCTACACTTCCTTTCTCCACACTATTCTTCCTTATTGTGGGAATTTTCACCTATAAGGAACTAGAATTTACTCACTGGGTAGCTAGGTAACCAGAGCGAACAAAGGTCATAGATTCAAATTGACTTTCCTCATTTACTTTCTTGAAAAGCCAAACCACTGTCTCTAAGGTTTTTGTGTAACTGAAACTCTATTTCCTGTGCTGATTCTGAAGGGTGGGTTGACATGTTCAGTGTCAGGAAGGAACAAGTGGTCTCCCAAGAAATAAAAGCAAGAACAGCTACTAGATTTTATCCAATACCCATCTCCAGTTTTTGTCAGAAGACCATGATGGTTCTGTCTGGAGACACAGCTCTTATAAAACAAGCTGAAGCCAGCTCATGAAAACCCTCATTTCTTTAAGCATGTTTTCCCTCATACCTGAAGAACTAAAAGTAACCAGAACGAGGAAGTACTGACAGCATACCAGTTTAATAAAGATGCAAAACATTAAAAAGAAATAATCAGAGCTAAGCATGGCCAGGAGAGGTCAGATCTGCTACAGGCTAAGTTTTCGAAGTCTGGTTATACAACCTCTGCAAACAGAACCACATTCTGCCTTCGTGGCTTTCCCAGGTATAAGCGAAAGTCTCCAGTACCCTATAGAGTCTTTCTTGGCAAGTTAGCTTCTCTAGCCAAGGATGGACACTATCAAATACATAAGAGAAGCACCCAAACCAACAGGATTTGGAGCAATAAACAGTGTTAGCTGGTCTAGCATTTCGACCTCACATTGTCAGCTCCTCTCCTTTCCTCCTCTTCTTGACTGTACCTCCAGTCCCCCTCCACTTTCAGGTCTGCATCGTCAACCCTTGATGGGTACAGCAATGTGTCCTCAGCCCAGGCGAGGCAGTGCCGTCTCACCCTGCTGGCCAGCCCCCTCAGTCCTCCCTCCTCCTCTGCAGCTTAGTCCTACTTTCTTCCTGCCGGCGTCTCCAGGCAGCGATGATGGCTTCATCGTCCATTTCTTCTTCTTCCTCTCTGTCGGTGCTCCTCCGATACTGGGACCGCCGTCCAGAGGCAAACCTTGCTTCTTCTCTGTTTTCCATCCTCTCTTTCTCCCCCTCCTCTTCAGGCTTCATGAAGCTCTGGGTGAATTTCCTCTTGGCTCCAAATTCAGAAAAGTCTGACTTGGATGACTCTTCTACATCTTCCCAGTTGCTGGGCCTGGCCCAACTGCCACGTGAGGTCTCCGGAGATTCTTCCCCTTGGGAGGGCTCTGGGGTCCGGTGGAAGAAGTAGGGTTCTGGGCTCCCCTCTCGAGAGCTTGTGGTCTCACTGAATGTGGACCTGGAGAACTTGTGCACCTCTCTGCCCTCCCTGGTAGATGAAGAAGTGAACCGTGAGGTGCTTCTTACCGAGCTGCCATCGGCCTCAGAGTAGGAGGAGGTATCCTGCTCCTGTGACTGGGATTTGGAGAACTTGTAACTTGAAGATTTAGACTCAGTTTCCCGGAGCAAGGACGATCTGGTGTACTTCCCCCTGGAGCTTCCAGACCAGTCACTCTGGGGAGAAGATCTTTCCTCTGTCCCTAGACCATGGAGCCATTTACTAATGCTACTATCCCTGTCTTTGCCATTTCCATAGTGATCAGAGACAGCCAGGGAGGAGGAAGTATCCATTTCAGGCTTCTGGGAATTACTGCGGGAGGAATACTGGAAACTCCCGATGGCACTGTCTATGTCCTCATCTTTGTGGTCCACACCATCATCCTCATCTTCTTTGATTTTCTTCTTCTTCTTGAAAAGGGAACTGCGTTTATTGTCTGAAGCCAGCTTCTCCATTTTGTACTCTGACATCTTGTCCCTCAGTTCCACCTGCATCTCCCTCTCCTTTCGGCTCAGCTCCTTTAGGTCCACATTGTCAGCAAACAGGCTGTAGAGGGGCTTGCTGGTCTCTCTCACACTGTTCCCAGTGCCTTGGGCCCTTGAGCTCAGCGCAGAGCTGGAAGACAGCACAGACTGTGTGTCACAGTTGGCTCTGGCTGGGCTGGGTGGCAGCAGGCAGCCCCCCAGGGAGGAGCTGCTCTGTCCACTGAGCATGGACACCTGGTCGTCCCCCAGGCAGCTGGCCGCTGGTGCTGCCCTCGAGCTTGCCACAGACGGTGGGCGAGACAACAGCAGCATTTCATTCTGCTTCTGGGCAAGGGTCTCGGTGACTACACTGGCAATCCAGTTCTGGATGCTGGCAATGGAAATGGTGTCCCCCGGCCCCACAGGTAGGTTGGGCAGGGGAGGTGTGGGTGTGGAGGTTGAGCGTGGTCCTATGTTGCTTGTAGCTTGGGACAGGTGGGAGTGGTGGCTCTGGGAGCTGAGCACTGATGTGTTGTCCCCATCCGCACTGACCGAGGAAGCCGCAGACCACAGCGCAGACAGGGGGATGCTCCCGCTGGCCACTGAGCTGCCCGCCTCCCAGCTCGCCATGGACTGGCTCTCCTCCAGCGTCTGTCTGCTCCGCTCCAGGAGCTCCAGCCTGCGCTGCCTCTTCTTGGCCGAGGCTGCGACTTCCGCCTTACTCATCTCCACCACCTCTTCCTTGTTCTCACTGCCCACTTTCTTCTGATGTTTCAGCTTCCAGGCCTGGTAGGCTGTCAGGTTGACATCCGAGAGGGTCTTCTCCCCCTCTTCTCCCTGAGCACCTTGCTCGCTGCTGCCCTCCCCCGCCTCGGAGTCTTTCTTGTGAAATCCAAACTGGATCCTCTTGATCTTCCACCTTTCCAGGGCGGTGAGCTTCTCCTTGTTCCTGCTGCAGAAATTATGGAAGGAGCTGGCTTCTGAGCTCACGCTGTCCTCATCATCCTCCCGCAGCCGGCTCCCAACCTCTGGGCTTGCGCCCCTCTCCTCCCTCCTGCTCCGGGAGTGGTATCTGCGGGCGGCCTCCTTCTCGATCTCCAGCAACCGCTCGTTCCACGCGTCCCAGGTGCTCTCGGAGGATGCGGAGTCTGAGCGGCGCCTCCCACCTCGTCTCTGGTTGCTCCTCTCCAGCTGCTGCTTCAACACCCGGATGTCCTGGCTACTCACGCTCTCCGAGGTGCTGCACTCACTGAGGGTGCGTCTGCGGATGCGCCTCACGAAGGAGTCCGCGTCACTCTCCTCCTCTTCCTCCTGTTCCTCCCTGCCCCACTGCCGGTGCCCTTCGGCTTGGTACCTCTCGTTCCGGCTCTGCCACTCCTGGATGATCCTCTTCACATCCTCGTCCTCGTCCTCGCACTCATCCCCATCCTGGCCAGAGGCCGCAGGGCACCTGGTCTCCCCACTCTGCGTGGCCCTGCCTGTGGGCAGGCCCTGCTGCCTCCTCCACTCCGCGTACAGTTTCTCCTCCTCCTCTTCGTCAATGAGGGTGAGTGGCCGGGAGGCCTGGCTGGCCTTCCCCAAGGAGGAGCTGCTCAGGTGGCTCAGGTGGCTGGCGGTGTCATCCTCCTCCTCCACCATCAGGTCGTGCATTCTGGCCCCAAACGTGCTCCCTGAATCCTCGCCCTCCTCCGTGTCATCCACTCCCTCCTCCCTGCCATCGTCCTCTTCCCTCTCCTCCATCAGCTTCTCATTGAGCTCCCGCAGCTGCTTCAGAAAGCCGTCATTGGGGTAGATGGCACGCTTCTTGCGCATGGTCATCAGGGCCTCCAGGATGGCCATGTTGTGGAAGATCATCAGGTAGGCGGCCACCAGCACTGCTGACCGACTGATGCCCATTTCACTACTGACCAGGACTTTCCCTGAAAAGAAAAAAAGTGAGAGAAAATGATGCCAACAGAGGTTCCTGTGGGGGTGTTTTGCTAAAGTGCTGTCATGCTGAAGTTGCTGAGCTTCACCTGTACGTTTTGCCCCAGGTGTTCACCCATGCTTACAAGTACACAAAGATGAGGACCACTGTCCCTATGTTACGGGTGTCAGAGCAGTCCCCACTGTCCCTGCTTTTGAAACACTAGAGTGTTTCCACTTTCTCTCCATAAACTCTTTCATCAGAGGGAGAAAGAAAAGAATGGCGGGGGGGGGGGGTTGAAAAGAAAAAAAGAGACTTTTGTGGAGGGGACTTTAAAACCATATCCAAGTCATAGTACTCTCCAAATTCTTAATGTAGGCAAACACATCATACAATGAAATCAAATAATATTTTGTTCTGTTTTTGTTTTTGAGAGAGTGTCTTGCTGGGTAGCCCAATCTAGCCCCAACTCCTGAACTTAAGTGATCTTCTTTCCAGCCTCTGCCCTGCTCATATCATCTTTTACTTATATCAACTAAAATCTATAAATCTATATAAAAAAAACCCCTGCTACTAAGTGATGTCTCTGTTATAGCATCTTTTACACAGAAAGAACTTTGCAAATTCCCATTAATATTTTTGGTGAAAGCAGCCTTTGCTTGTAGCCTGCTGAAGTTTCTGCAGGTCCTGACTCTACCAAGCAGCAGACCAGTTACCTGCTGACCTCCTGTTTTGCTTCACACCCTTCATAAGTACAGCAGACATGCCTTTCTGCCTGCTTGCTTGTTTGCTTTCTTCCTTTCTTTCTCTTATTTTTTTTTGGTACAGGTAATTGAACTCAGGACCTTATGCTTGCCAGGCAAGTCCTTATGCCACTGAGCTATCTCTCCAAGCCCTCTTCCTTCTTTCTTGATGGCTGCTTAAAATGCAGACCAAGACCCCTGAAGACCTTCTTCCTGGCTGTCATCAATCTTCTTGCTGACAGTCTTTAGGGATGCTTGCTAAATTGTCCAAGAGTCTTATCTGGTAATATGAGATGGAAGGTGACTTCTATTATTGTAGCTCTGCACCTGTTAAAGGAAAGGAGGTTGCAGACTGAGTGTTGAAGGGACCTCAAGTGACCCCGTAATGCTGAAAAGTGTCATTACCAAGAGCCAGCATCCACTAGAGGGAGGTAGATGGAGTGTGTTGGACGTCTCTGGCATTTTGCTCAGATGACTGCAGAAGCTGGAAAAACAGGTGCTGCTATTGATACATAACATGTTGTAATCATAGGTGTTTTTGAAACTTTAACTGTGCTGCCAACTTTGGGAACAGGATCCCAGTTTATCATTGTACAGATAAGCAATCCAGCTGGCATTGTACAGAAATTAACAGTCACATTGGTCTAGAAATATTAAATGTATTTTTTGTATGTACAGGCGTAATGTCTTGTATTCAGTAAGGTCTTATCTATGTGGGTTTGATTATGGAAACTAATATTCTTTAAATAATGAAAAAAAGCCCAGAATCAAACCGATAAAAGCAATTACCTATGATTCCCCTGTCTCATCCACTCCCCCTCCATGCATCAGGGCTAAGAGTTTGCCCTGCACCAAGGACCTCCCCTTAACCATCTAATCAGGCCCAGTCCTACTGCCCTGAGTCTCTGGAAGAAGGTCACACACTCGTCCTTTGACAGGCTGGCTCACTTCAGGACTTCTCAGGACAGAAACAGCCAGTCTTCCTAATAAGGACATCAAATCCTACTTAGGTCCCTTCTGCGACTTGGGGTGGGATGCCATGCATCCCACACTGTGATCCTTGTGTCCTCAGGATGGTAGCCTGAGGAACAAGGAAGAGGCTGGCTGTGTGGGACCCTGGGGGAATCCTGGGGCTTCCACTCTATTCACCCAACAAAGCACCCAGATGTTCTCTCTGCTAGGCACAGGCCTGTGCTAAAGGTACATAAAACTTGCTCTGCACAACTCCAGGGGGCACCTTACAAATCAAAGCATATTTTCTGGTTATGATGAAAATGTTCCAACAGGAAGCTAGTCTGAAGAAGGTGGTCTTTTGCAAACGTACAGAGTTTCCATTTGGATAGAAGCAGACCTGACTAGGGATGGGAAACCCCATTTAGATGTGAGCCCCATTTTAAAAATTTGTGGAGCGCAGTGAGTGGAGAGTGTGCCAGCAGTTGGGAACATGGGGTCATACTCTCTCTGTGTGCTCAGTGTGCCTCTTGGTGGCAGGCATGTGTGCTGTCTCCCCAAACCCTGATTCCCCTTTTAATTCAAACTCACACCTGGGGGAGAATAAGAGATATTTGAGCAGAAGCTACCCAATTTGCTACTGTCCATAGAACTCAAGGGACATACGGACCAGGGTCTGCTGAATGATTTCTCCAGGGAATTTGGAAATGGGGCAGAGGCAAGTAATTAGCTGGTTGATATCAGACCTTCATTTGCTTTCTGAAGTAGAGGGAGGAAAGGTAACCAAGAGTCCTGAGATTGTCCAGACTGTTCTTGGACTCCTTCCGACACAGACTATAGGTCCCTTGATCTGTCACTGATTAAAAGCCTAATTTATGTTTCCTTCAGTGGCAGTCAGAGACTAAAAGCTGTTTTTGTTAACTAAAAAGTCAACAAAGCAGGTCCCCATCTGCTCTCTATGGGGACAAAACCCAGTGATTTTTAATTCTATACACGCCCAGTAGCTAACGCAAAGCAGAAAAAGCTTGGCTTTCATATTATTCCCTGGGTCAGATCCCAGCTCAGCTCTGCATATAGAGCTATAGAGCTATGATTTCCCTGTCTTACCCCTCCCCTATTATCCTCTCCCAGCTTGCATAAAGGTTATTTAAGGACATCTGTCTAAAAACTGGCAAAACAAACTTGATTGGTCTTAAACTTACATCGTCCATCTCGCTCCCCCTTTAAGACATTCTTCTACCAATGGGAATCTGGGAGTCTCCAGCCACTGCCCTGAGATTACACAGTCTTCTTGGGCTCCAGGGGAGCCTCCCCAAAGCTGGGACTACCGTGGGCAGAAAAGATTGTCTTACGGAGATCCAGTCACCCCTTTGAGCAGCAAGGATGTCTGCAGAGCCGCCTGGCAAAGGCAGAACTGAGGTAGTCAGGCCCTAGCCCACTTCAGCTAACTTGCTGGGAACTGGCCAGTCTGGTACCCTGGGCCCTACCTGCCCCCCTGTTGGGGACAGAACCCAGGGTCTTCATATGAGCTACCCCCCAGCCCTGCCCGGCTGGAAATTGTGATCCGCCTGCCTCAGCCTTTCTTTCTCATCACAGCTGTGTTCCTTCCACTGCCTTTTCTCTTACTTTCTAACTGCCTGATAAACCTGCCTGTGCCTCACAGGAATTCTTTTTCTGGGAGAGTCAAGAACCTATTCTGGAAGCAAGTTTAGGTTCTTTGTGGGAACTTCCTCCGACCCTGTTCCGTGGCCATCTTGTGCCTGTTTATTCAATGCCCTTGCTGCTGAAGTAAAGTTCCAGGCAGGCCATTCCCTGCAAGCAATCAAAAAATCTTAATTGCCCACTGTGGCCCCATCAGAGGACAGCCCAAGGTCTGAGCTGCCACTGTGAGCTCCAGATGTCTCTTTGAAGATTTCCACCTGGGTGTTAGGAATCTACTCTCAAGGATACCCCCCCCCCCAAGCCCAGGGCTCAGAAAAATGCTGCAGAGCAGGCCCTACCCGTACAGCAGCACCTCTGAGACTACCAGGGAGAGAGGTAGGAGGGAGAAGATGGCGCCCTCCTCAGGCACCGACAAGGGCAGCCTGCAAGGAAGGCTGGGGAGGAGTCTTGCTGGCGCCCGCAGCACTGGGTGCCTCCTTCCCTGCCCCTCTCCAGGTCTTCCCAGGAATGCGTTCCAGCCTAGAATGCCCCACTGGCTCAGGGATGCTGTGGGCCATGTCTGTGCTCCTTATTTTCCTCAATACTCTTGCTTCCGTCCCAGGGAGGTGGGATGGTGTCCAGACCCAGAAAAAAGGAACAACCTCTTGCTGCCCCAGACCTGTGTACTACTCCCACAGGGGTCAGCAAGCAGACATTGCAGGAGGTAGGTTATTGGAAGCATTGATAGGGGAGAAAACTGCACCCATGCGCATATGTAAAGATACGTATGCATGTATAAAACATATACAGAGACGTATGCATGTTGTATGTGTGCACCTACATGCTGTATGCGTTCATCTATGTGTACATGTGTGTATGTGTGTGTGTTCCACTAGAAGTCACCCAGCCTGGGCATTGGTAGTGACAGGTAATGAATGTCCTTAACAGGAATCACTAACATTATTCATATCATTAGTGCTATTATCATCCTGATCGTAATTACACCTTTCTAAGCATTTATGACATTCTGGAGCGGGTGGTGCCGATCCATAACCCCGGCACACTCAGGGAGGCTGAAGCATGAAGATCTAAAGTTCAAGTCTCACACAGGCCACTTAGTAAGTCTCCATCTCCAAATAAAAAAGGCCTGGGGAGTGTAGCTCCATGATAGGGTTCCCCCAGGTTCAATCTCTAGAACAGGAAAAAAGTATTTATAATAATGTGTAGGCCTTTTAAAAATTTATCATGTCCCAGGTATTTTGCCCAATAAGCTTGTTTATACGCATTTCGAATTTATAATCCTTGAAAGAACTTTAGGATTAGATGTCTATCTTTGTTCTATGTGTGAGATGAGGTTCCTTGGGATAGGAAAAATATCTTGTGGTCAGAGGGTACAACTAAGAATAAGAAACACTGGACTCAATCCCAGGCTTCTGGACAGCACATCCAGCCCACTGCAGGGACCCCAGCCCCTATCCAGAAGGTGGGGCACAGCTGGGCTCCCCTGTGGCCCTTGGACAATAGCCTTACATGCCTCATGTTTGGACCACAGCAGTCATGCCTCTGGCTACCCCTTGCTCCCCTACGCAGCTCATCCTCTCAGGTATAGAGTGACATCTCACACACATATCGCCTTGAGGCATCACATCCTCCTCCTCTGGGGCTTCTTGTGTGGTGGCCCCTGCCACTCAGCGCTTCCTGCTGCCTTTGGATTCCTGAGCACTGAGCTTCCTCCACCTTGGGGTCTTCACAGTAGCACTTCCCTTGGCCAGGAATGCTCTCCTTCCCCTTCCACCCTGGCCAGCTCCCTCCTTTAGCTTGGCTTATGTGTTTCAGCCTCAGAAAGGCCTTCCCAACTAGCTCTGCAGGGAGCCGGCCACACATCTCCTTAGGTAACCTGTGATGGGCACTTTCTGCCATCTGACATGTTCCTTAGAAATACTTCTTTCACTACAGTGTGAGATTGTCTCAATGGCACAGTACCCGACACCTATCAGGCCTTCAATTACTGCCTACTGGTCATCTTTTCTCCTCTTCTTAGAGAAAACCATCATCTCAAGGCAGATTTCCTCCAGATAACCAGGAGGTTGTGTAACAGCTCTGGCATTGCTCCCCACCCCCTATGGAGCTCAACAGCCTGGAACCAGTAGAAACCCCTCACCTCTGTAGGTCAGCAGTGCTTCATCAAGGAACTCAGCAGCCTTCCGGAAATGTTGAGAGATATCCACCTCTGGAAAGTCATCTACTTCCACTCCCAGGTACTGGATCTCCAGGCCAGAGTAGAATTCGGGACCGGTATAGACACCAGCACCATGTGCAGCATTCAGGATGTGGGTGACACCGAGCCTCTTCAGCCTCCCCTTGTTCACAGCTACACTCCTGGGGGAAGAGGCAAGGACATGTTGGCCAGAATCAGACACAGGAAGTCAAATTATGACCATGATGAAGAGCCTGCATTCTGGGTCAGGAGGGTGCCACAGATGAGGGCTGCCTTCTCTGCTGGGAGGTCAGGCTCAAGGCAAATGTCTTTATAAGAAGAAGCCATGACTTGGCTGCAATAAGAGAGGGAGGCAAGGTGCTCAGGAGGAGCAGGATGAAAAGGAGAACAAGACTGGCCTGCAAAGAAATTTGGAGGAGGTCCAGAGGCCTCTGATAAAATACCATGCCTTGGGAAGACATTCATCAAAACACAAAAATGGTAGACAAAAATAATAAAATTAGGTATATTGGCACATTGATGTTGCATGCTGTTTTTTAAAATCCTATCACATCATTATTTTATTTTATACTTACAGTAAACTTAAGAGATCGGAAGGACATTGTTTTTATTCCCATTTAAAGGCTATAAAAATGAATACTAGAGCTTTTATGTCTACTCAGGACTGTGAAGAGAGAACAAGACAAGACCTGGTATTTTTTATTTCTTGCTCAGAGCTCCTTTTGCTCAGCTGTATAAAGGGAGCTCAATTTGAAGAGGCCTTGAGGACAGGATTACTCAAGAAGGAGCCGAGAGAGATTTAGCTAGGGATATCTGGGAGTGCCTGGTATCCCTGGTGACCAGAGAGTGATGCTTCTGGAGCTGCAGATCTATTTAAAGTTCTCCTGAGACTTAGTGCCACCCTGGGAATCAGGTTCTAGGCAACTGATTACTCTGCTATAGAACACAAGACAGTGTCCAAAGCTATTTTCCCAAATTCCCTCCTCTACTTGGGGGATAAATGGGTAATTATACTGGGAGGTAATTACCTCTCATTAAGTAGTCAATGGATCAACAAAAAATTAGTTTCACAAATTAACCTACTGGTACCAATTATGCACTGGCAAGACCCTGGAGGAATAGACTGTGAATGAGTTGTGCTTGCTCTGGAACCTACGGTTACACTTTTAAAATATAATAGTTTTCTGATCATAAAACCTGTTCCATTCAAAACAAAATGGGAAGGAAAAAATAAAAACCATTTGTAAAATCACCTCTCAGAAAAAATACTTACTGTGAACATGCTACCACATTTCTTTCTAATTCCTTAATGGGCAAATGTGCGTGCACACTATACCACAGATATTACTTGACTAGTGAATCCTGTGTACAAGCACTGCTCCTTTGTAGCCTACTTTTCCCCTCCAGCATATCATGCACATTTTCATTTTTTGGTAAATATAAATGTGTCAATGTTGTCAGTGGCTATCAGTGTTCCATCATAAGGGTGGCAAGGATGGAGATGACAAGAGTGTGTTAGGTAGAGCCAAGGCCATGACAGAGTCCTGATGGTGGGAGGAGGAAGCTGAAGGCTCGTTTTGCAGGCATGTCTGTGTGGAGCTGCGTGGAGAGTCTTTCTCCAAGGCCCTGACAGGGTAAGCAATCATGCAGCCTTCATTGGATGGGTGGTGGAGCTATGGCAGCCGTTGGTGAACACGGTGGGGGGGGAGGTGGTCTCCTCGGGCACTAACAAGAGGTGTAGGACAAAGCCTCAGCTCCCCCAGCAGCCAGACTCACTTCTCAGCTATGAAGATGTTGGGCCAGACCTCATCCACCTCGTTCCGGGGGGCCTCCTGGCGATCCTGGACCAGAGCCCGCTGCAGATCCAGCACGCAAGGAGTGTTGTACAGACTGGTGTCATCCATCTTCTCCTTCACACGGTTGTATAGGTCCTCCACCAGCAGCTGCTCGGCAGACTCCAGCATGCCTGGACACTCTGTGTCTGCTGGGAGTCCCCGAGGCTTAAGTTCTAGAGGGAACAGGTGGCGTTTGCCTATGAGTTGGGAACACCATGGCTCTCCCTGGCCCTTGGAAGAACTGCTCATAGCTATAACCTGAATATGGATGGAATGCTAGCAGAATCTTTCAGGAAGGACATAATGGGGATGCAGGGGGCCCACAACATTGATCTGGACACCTGGTGGCAGTATCAGCTACAGGTGCATGTGAAGGAAGGGAACTCTAACCAGTTTTCCTGACTCACTCCTAGGTAAAATGTTCACTAATACATTTTTAGAGCTAGGGCCTTGTATATTAGATGTGTATCAGATTCATGCTTGCTATGGCTTGTGTCTAGATGTCCCCCAAAGCCTCATGCAGTCATAGGTGGGGCTTCTTTAGAGGTGGCTGAATCTAGAAGGTGTGACTGATTCATGGTCCAATGCTAGGATAAAGGGTGCTAGGATTAAGGGTGGGTGACTATTAGATCAGCCTACTGGTTGGTTTGGCACCACCCTTCTCCTAGTAACCTGGACACAATATAAGGAACAGAAAGGGGCTTGTCTTGTTTCTTGCTTGCTTGCTTTGCTACCTTCTGCCCACCATGAAGTGTTTCTATTCTGTAATCCCTGTCTGTCACAGCACCCTTGGAGCCAGCCAACTATGGACTGAAACCTCTATAAACTCTGAGCTTAAATAAACTTTTCTCCTTTGAGTTAGGTATTTCATCTCGGCAACAACAACAACAACAAATAACTAAGACAATGCTTATAACTCACGTATTGCCCAGGACAATGTAGATACTCAGGAGAATTTACTAAATGAATAAATTATACTCTTTCATAGCAATTTGCGCCATGAGCCTGAGTTGCTTAGATGTGGAATGCAAGTAACTGCAAAAAGGAAAATGCTCACTAGTCATGTATGTAGTATTATCTGCTACTAAAAAACTTGATTTTCTTATTTACTTCATTTATTGTCTGCTACCCCTCAGTAGAGCTGAGCACCTGTGATTCTCAGTCTCTCAGACATCAGATGCGAGCAAAAATTTGCCATGAGGTCCCATTCCAGTTTCGAACCAGGACACCAGACCCTTCTGACAGCTGACCAGAAAGCTCAGATTCCAAATGAACTCAAATTCTCATGCACCCACATTTGGAGGGGGGGGTCCCTTGGTATACTTGTTCAAAATATATCAAATTTGAGAAGAAAGTGAGATGTTTCTTTTGCTAAGAAGTATAAGAGGAGAAAGCAAAACCATTGCTCACTCAGCAACCAGATATATTGAGTAAAGTGAGGGGGGAAAAAAAGCACACTCTCTGCTCTGGCCTTGGCCTTGAGTGAGCAGCTCCTGCGCAGGGAGCTACAGGGCCAGCACAACTGCATTTGGAAGATGGAGTTGCCCCAGCCCCTTGGGAATCATCTAGCAGACAACTCTGAAGCCCAGGGCTCAGGGTCCCATTCCGAAAGCTCCTCTTTTCTGCTGTCCCTCTAAAGCACCTGATCCCCACTGCCATCCCCTCTCAGGTGTCAGCTCTAAACATTCTCTGATCTCCATTTCAAAAGCAGAAAGAAGACCTCTACAATCCCTAAGCTCTATTTTGTTTAAAAATAGATGAAGAGTTCCTATTTTCTCCACCACCCAATTTTTTTCCCCTGGCTCCCCTGGGGTCTTGTATCCCAAATGTAAAAAGCCTTTCTCCTTCTGTAACCTACATAGATAGCTTTCCTTTCCTGCATGTAGAAAATAGAACTCACCCATGCCTCATTAGAAGGTATTGTATTTCCTCCTCAACTACTGATACAGCAGGGTGCTGTTTTGATTTCTTCCTTTTCCCTTTAAAAACCAAATGCTCCAAGCCCTCATCCCATGGCAATTCTTGGTTTCCCCAGGCCTCTCCACATTTCCTGCCTGCGACATCCTCCTGTTTGTTGTGATTACCTGAGATTTCTTTAGAAGAAAATAAAGCCCACACCCTTCACTGGGGCAGTGAGCAGCCCTTGGCCCTGGCAGCAGACAGATGCAGGTTTTCACCAGTACTCAGGGTTCCTTCACATCCGGCTTTATCCCTCTGATCACTAGAGAGTTAGTAATGTTTTAAGAATATCAAGCAAGCGTGGGCACTGGGAATTCGATTCCCAGGCCTGCCATGCTGCCCCCCCCCCAGTGCTGAGACATTTGAGAATGGGTGTGGTGCCTGTAATTCCAGCTCTTGGGAGGCTGTAAACAGGTGGATCACTACAAGTCTGATCTAGTAGTGAGACCCTGAACACCCTATAGATCCTTCCCTAAAATACAAAAATAAATAAAAATATCACCAGATGCATTTTCTTTTTACTGTAATATATTGCTTTTCCTTCCCATCTCAGCCCATGAAAGCTAATGAAATTTAGGTTTTTCATGCCCCAGAGAAAGAGAAAGTAGATAAGACTTAGAATTTAAAAAAGCATTGTTCATCTCCTGGTTTTGAACTAGACCTTGAATATCTATGACATTTTATGGACTTGAAAGTGAAACTCTCAGAGGAGAAAATGGTTCTACAACTCCTGAAGGCAGGCTTTCATGTACCGAGACCTGGGGCCTGGAGACTGTCCCTCGGAGTGGGGCACAGAACACAGCTGAAAATTCCAGGATTAAGGTGCTAGGGTGATGATGGGAGCAATTCAGAAAGAGCCACCAGTCTGGTGACACTGCCTAGGGCTAGGAGCAACAAAAGGGACACCTCAGGTGGAGTAGAAAAGGAAAGAAAAAAACAGAAAGCAGAGTGAGCTTTGAGAAGACACCCCACCCCGACCTTTAGCACAGAGCAGCCCCAGTGACAGTAGCAGGAGACCCAAGTCTCCTCCAGGATCTCTGCCTAGGACCCACAGAACCAGAGAACTAAGAGAGCACTGGGGTGAGGGTAGACAAAGAGTAGTGTGGCTGCTTCTCAAGTCTAAGGGGCAAAGAAGGGACAGTGGCCAGCCTGGAGTTAAACAACTTAAAGGAAGTTCCCAGGAGCAGATTGGAGTTGCCTTCATCCGTGTGGTCATCTGGAGAAGTGCACACACTGCTGCAAGGTGGTGCCCATCTCTTTGCCCTCACAGATGATCAAGTGAGGTTGGCAGGACTGCCTTTTTCAGATCTGCTTTTCTTAAACTGAGAGGCGGCGCCAGAGAAGCCCATTTACCCCTTCATGTGCTCCCTGAAAGAGTCTCCTGGTGATCTCCAGGCAGTCCCTGTCCTGCCTGCTGCCCCAGCTGCATTACCTTCACTGATGATCTGTTTGGCAGCAACAGCAGAGGAGAGGTGAATGGGCTCCATGAAGATGCTCTCAGTTTCCGCGTCAGAGATCATTGAGCACCTAAGGAAGAAGACAGAGATGTGAGGCCACCCAGGCAGCACGGGAGGGAAGGCATTCTTCCTGGAGGGGAAACCTGGGCCTGGTTTAGAGCAGAAATCTGGGTCTCACTTTAGCCCTAGGTGGGAAGCAGTGAGCAATAAGAAGAAAGCGTTCCTCCTTTAGGGCCCCTGGATACAGTGCGGTGGTTGCCTCGTGTTGCAGATGACTTGAGGGTTTGGACCTGAGTTAGCACCTCTGCTGTGAAATAGACATTAAAAGATATAGTCTAGGTTGCGGAGGGAGGGGTAAGTGTCTGAGCAGGGAGTCCTACCTGGAGATGGCTTTGGTTTCTCAGACACTATACTGCTCTTTAATTTTCCTTTGCTAGCAATACTTTTTTTTTTTTTTTTTTTTTTTTAAGATGGGACCTTACTATGTAACTCAAGCTGACCTTGAACTCAAGGGGATAAGCCTGTCTCAGCCTCCCAAGTGCAGGCATCACAGGTGTGTGCTACCATGCCCAGCTCAGGATGAGCCTGACTGTAACTTTCCCAGGGCTCTGCTGGGTGGAGCCTGAGTCTGCTGCCACTACGCTCTTTTCCCTGCTTGGAAGGGGATGGGCCGATAATGAAGGGCAGGCTGATCACCAAGTGGAATGCCAGGATGTGCTTCTGTGCATAGGTCCCGTTCCTGAGTGTGAGAAAGGGTCAGCTGAGCCCAGGGACCAGGACAGTAACCTGCATACCTGCCTAGGCCTTCTCTCAAGAGAACTTCAGAGGAGGTACCAGAGGAACCTCTGAGGGGCCTGGAAGACCAGCCAGAGACAGATGTTGGGAACACAAGCTAGTTCTCTAGCAAGCTCCTTTCTAGTGAGCTGCTTCTCAGAAGGTGGGGTTAGCTCTGGGTCTTACTTTTTGTTTTTCTTTTCTTTAGAACCAGAGAGGTTAAAATGGGGAGATTTGGTGAACATTTTTAGTTCCTCTTAGGAATTTAATTCTGACACATCTTCTACAAAGCACTGTTATTCTAGCTTTGGAAAACAGAAAACTGTGGTTCAGGAAGTCTAAGGAGCATGCCTGCAGCAGCAAGTCAGTGGCAGGGCTATGCAGTATTGAAATGCAGGCAGTCCTGCGCTAAGCCCAGTCTGTCCTTCACCACAATACATTGATAGCACAGTTGGTGCAAGGGGGTGAGACCATTGATAGCAGCAACCCTGGCTGGAGTCTCGGGCCCAATGCAAGACTTTGACACAGAAAAGTGAGTTGACATCAAAATATATGGGGTATGTTTTTAAAAGTATTACAGTAATGGCTAGCAAGATAGCTCAGCCAACTGAGTGCCTGCTTAGGCAAACACAGGGACCAGGGTCTGATCCTGGGCACCACATGCTGTGCTGCCCTCCCACCCCCTCCTCCTCTCCACCCCACCCACATGCTGAGCCAGCCACTGAGACCAGGCATGGTGGTGCATGCCTGCAATCCCAGCGCTGGGGAGGCTGAAAACAAGAGGATCACTATTAGTCCAAGCTGTGTAGAGAGACCCTGTACCAAATACATTTAAAAAATTACAGTAAAAGGTACATTACTATTAATCTCCCTAATAATATTCCTGCTCACTTTGAAGACATTTGTCCCATCACTATTGCCACTTTGTGAAGAAATTCCTGAAGTTCTCTTTTTGGATGTTTTCAGTTGTACTGTCCTAGCTGCCTTTCTGTCCTGAGTCCATTCAAAATGTTTACCTTTCATGATCATTTTGATTTTGGGCTTTTCACCAGAAGTTGTGGGATGCCAGATCCAGTGAATAAAGTGGACGCGGATATGCCTTTGTGTTTTTACCAGCCTGCCTTTCCATTTGGATGGCACTTGGAAGCGGCATTCATTATATTTTTAATCAAAGACACTCAGAAAAGAGGATTTCCAGAACTGTTTCTGAAAGTGGTAGGAATGGTGGGATAAATATTTTCCGAGTGAGTGGAGTATTTTGAGGAGAATTAACAGCAACACGTGTTCTGCTCTGACAAAAAGTTTTAAATGTAAATACTCACCATATTTTTTTTTATCATCGTGTGTACTTAAAAATAGCTGTGAGGGGATAAATGAGCGGGTGGACAAACCGAGTGGAGGGGAGCTAAGCAGAGTTAGGCTGAGCCCAGGTGAGCAGAATAAAGTCAACTTGAGCTAAGGTCAGTTGGAATAGAATTGAAATGATCGGCAGAACAATTCTTTTGTAGTACATAACTATGACAGAGTCACCCTTGAGGGAACACGTGCCCAGGGTCAGCAAGACCAGGGAAAACAAACGCGCTCACCAGTGACTCTACCTGGAGTAGCAGAGGAAGGAGGAGCTGGGACTCTACCTAGAATGTGGCCAGTCCTGTGCTCCGGGGCACTGGCTCCTGAGAGTGATTCTGAGAGTTTTCCAATAGCATGTAGGCTGATCTAGCCCGTTTGAGCACTGCTGGCAACCGCAGGGTGCACTTTCAGATAAACATGGAGAGGAGGTTCAAGGTGAATTAGTAACCGTGACGTTTGTGGGATTCATCCTAGGATGTTAGAACTGGAGAGCTCTTTGGAAATCTCATTGCTTGGTGAAGGTAAATGCGAACTAGAACACCTTTGAAGGAGTAGGTACAGATTACCAGGTTTGTTGTATTTGATTTAAACCCCCTAATTCCTTCCATTTTGCCACAAGTAACAGAATTTCTTTGTCCTTTCTTTTCTCTAACACCCTTTTGCATATGTACACCACATTTTCTTTGTCCGTTCACCCGTTGGTGGAACATAGTTTGGCTGTTGTATATAATGCTCCAACAAGCACGGGAGTGGAGGGATCTCTTGATTTGCTGATTTCATTTCCTTTGGATATGTACCCAGAAGTGGGACAGCTCAATCAGGTGGTAAAACTGGTTTTCATTTTTTAAAGAGCCTCCACACTGGTTCCATACTGGTTTTCATGATGACTATAGTAATTTACATTCCCACCAGCAGTGTATAAAGAGTCCCCTTTTCTCTGCATCCCCAACAGTACTGCTTTTTTTATTTTTTTACGGTTTTGATAATAGTCATTTTGACTAGAGTAAGAAGAGATTGCATTGTAGTTTTGATTTGCTTTTTCCTGTTCCCTAACTATACTGAGTATTTTTTCATATACCTGTTGGCCATTTGTATTTCTTCTTTCGAGAAATTTCTTTTTATTTATTTATTTTTTTTGGTGATACTGGGGAATCAAACTAGGGACCTTGTGCTTTCCAGGCAGGCACTTATGCCCCTGAACTGTCTCCCCAGCCCAAAAGTTGAAGGGTTTTTTGTTTGTTTGTTTGTTTGTTTGTTTTGTTTTTGTTGGCTCAGGCTACATTAAGGGCAGGTCTGGTAAGGCATGTGGGACTGGGGATCTAACTGGGGTATCCTGCACCTGACTACGTTTGCATAAACAGGCACTTAAACAACTGAGCTACAGTAGAATACGTGCTTGCCTGGAAAGCACAGGGTCCTGAGTTCAATCCCTGGTACTGCAAAAATGAAATGAAATGAAATGAAATGAAATGAAATGAAATGAAATGAAATGAAATGAAATAAAATAAACTGAGCTAACTGGCAGGCCCCCTTTTTGAGAAATTTCATTTCAGATCAGTTGCCTCATTTTATTTGGTTCATTTGATTTTTGTCACCAAGGATTTCAAGTTCCTTTTATGTTCTCATTGTCAAGCTCTTCTCAGATGAGTCATTTGCTAATATTTTCTCCCATTCTACAGGCTGCCTCTTCACTGTTTCCTTTGCTGCGTAGAAGCTCTCCATTTGGTCTAATTATATTTGTCTATTTTTGCTTTGTTTCTTATGCTGTGGCATCTCAAAACATGATTACGTATATTGCTGTCTTGAATTGCTTTCCCTATATTTTCTTTTAGTAGTGTCATATCTTACATTTTGGTCTTTTCCATTTCAAGTTGATTTTTTATATGATGAGAGACAATAGTCAAATTTAACCTTTCTACCTATATACATTGTTTTACAAGCATCATTTATTAGCAAGGAGATACTTTCTTCACTGTTTTTGATATTTGTGTTTCCCTAATCTTTTCAATGTCTTTGTTGAGATTTAGTTGACTGTAGGTTTATTTATGTGGATTTATTTCTAGATCTCTAGTCTTTTCCACTGGTCTCTGTGTTTAATTTTATGTCAGTACCATGCTGCCTTGGTTACTATCGCCCACTAGTACCTCCTGAAATCAGTTATTGTGACGCTTCTAGCCTTATTCTTTTTGTTCAAGGTAATTTTGGCTCTTTAGAGTTTTTCTATGCTTCCATATAAATTTTAAGAAGTTGTTTTCCTCAATTTCTGTGAAGAATGTTATTGATATTTTAGAGGAAATTGTCATGAATCCATAAATTTTGCTTAGGGGAATTTATGTTTGTTTTAATAATATTTATTCTAATGCATGAACATGGGAGGTCTTTCCATTTCAGTGTGCCCTTTTCAATTTCTTTTATCAGTGCTTTGTAGGTTTCATTGGAGTGGGTGTTCATTTCTTTTTTTCTTTTTTTTTGCTGTTCATTTCTTTGGTTAAATTTATTCCTTGTTTTTTCATTTCAATTTGGTTTGTAGCTCTTATAACAGGATTGTTTTCTTGATTTCCTTCTCAGAAAGTTCATTTTTTTTTTGTATTTGTATATAAAAATCCTGCTGGTATTTACATGTCAATTTAGTATTCTGCAATCTTACTGAGTTCTTTTACTAGTTTTATGGCTGTTGGTGGAGACTTTAGATCTTTTTTTCTTTCTTTTCTTGTATTTTAGGATGGTCTACAGGATCTCACTATGTAGATCAGACTTGTAGTGATCCTCCTGTTTTCAGCCTTCCAAGGACTGGGATTACAGACATGCGCCCTCACGCACAGTCTCAATCCCCATCTCAGCGCACCCCGAGGGCAGGGCTGGCACGGCATGCTGGGGATCGAACCCTGGCTGCTGCGTCTGCCTAAACAGGCACTTTAATCTGCTGAGTTTTTTGGCTGGCCCTTA